TTATTAATGGTACTTGCACTTACCCATTTCATTGCACTTTATTGATTCACCTTAGCACTTTTACTCTTCTAAAACAGCTTTCAATCCCTTTTAAACGTTGTACTTACCTCAATATTGGTTGGTTATCGTGTGCCTACAACCACGGGATGAAAACGAAACAAAGTCGATTTTCCCACGAAACCTGGAGGACAATTGTACAATTCAATAACTATACGGCCTGACCCAGACAATGGGTGTATTTGTATAAATCAAATATTTACCTGTTGAAACATCACTAACTTGTAGACAATCTACGATTTAAGACTACATCATACTTGATCGTGCCTGTAAAAATGGCATGCATTTTCATGTAAATTTATATGTTTATAAGGGAATACACATGATTATTATTACACTAGTAAAATGCTACATTCGTATTCGTAAAGTTGCTAAAATATCACAGGTAGCACAGCCACATATAACCACACACGGTGGCACCGATATAGGACAAATGAAAAATCAGATTGACCGCCACTACTAAAGCCAATGGATGAGGGGAAAACCTGAAGTGCGTTATATTTAAAACGTGACAACGTTTCTCCTCAACCGCATTATGTGTATAGGAAAGTTCACACAATTGCTACAAGAATGGAACATTGGTTTCGTGATTCTTCGAGTAATTTATGCAGTTGACATTTTTGGCTTTTGAAGTACTTCACAATCCTATGTCTAAGGCCACGTGTTTAGAAGTAGGAAATGATGGTGAGAAATGCAATTCTAAGGTTATTGTCATAGCCTGGGATTTTCATTGAGCAGCTTTCTGCCGTATCCTACGCTACATTTTCAGTTTGCTAGCTGCATTTAAAAATGAACTTCGGAACGGACTAACCAGATGATAAGGAGGAATATTACATAGTGGCACCAGTATAGATTACTATTATGAGTGCCATCAAATCACAAGAAATCTTCTGACTGTACATACCCTAACCACTCTTCTATCTAGTTCGGCTGTAAGTGGTACCGCCACGTTTTGACCTCGACATCACAACTCACTCTCTCCCTAGCTCAGTAACCAACTTAATATTCAAACTGTTCAACTTTATTAGGTTCGTCTCGAGTTTTCGATTTTTGGAGATAAATACAGTAATGAGAAACTGTTAGGATACACACTTCCGGGCCAGTGCCGCCATAACTCTAGGCATTCTTGTTCGGCATAAATTTGGGAAAAACGAATGAATTTCGATGAACTGTTTGTATCAGAGTGGACTTAGACGATGAGCTCTTCCAAATTTGACAAGCAGACTCCCGTGGTGTTATTGGACAGTCTGAATGATTCCATGAAGTCACTGGTACTTCTGAAGTCAGATTAGAAAAAGAACAAGTGTGACGACAGTAGCAGGCCTTTGTCAATGTAAGGATTGGGTATGACAATGCTAATAAAGTGCACCACTCTTGAAGCGGGCAAAAAGAAATCAAACTGTTCTACACTGGCTTGTAAGAACGATATTGGATATTGGATTGCATTCCCTTGAATTGTGTGACCTTGAGGTGCATAGCATCATCGCAAGCAGTGGGTGCATCTCCGTATTACCAGTGAGTTCACGCGCACGGTACCCTAATTAACGTGGTTTTATAGTTTGGATAAGAAGTTTTTGAATAATGTACAGTACTTTCTTTGCACATCAAAAAAGTTCAGTGTATCCTAGTCAACTACGCCCAGTCGAAGAGTGCACATTGGCAAAGTGGGCTAAATAGACAATTTTGATCGGCGAAAATGTGGTCGAAATGTGGTTAGGTTAAAGTTTAATGGTAGTGTCCCAAGGGATGCGAACGCAAGAGTGACCTTCGGCCGACCAACCATGAAAATAAGTGCATAAAAATGACGTATATTCAGGAGAAAATGCATAAAAGCACACTAAACAGGGTGTCTTTCTCTGACATGACTTGAAAATATGTCCCAGTTATGATGGGGAGTATTAGTTGTTTAATTAGACTAGTTTCAGAACAGATTCAGGATTTACTCACTATAGAATGTTAGAATTATTTCAGAGTTAGTGAGATTTAATTCAGTATCATAGTAAGCTTGGGTTCTGTACATGTATTCACCGAGGTGAGTGAAGATGAGCTGTTTATGTGAATTGTTTATCTCTCTTACCCAGTTGTACAGTCTTTCCCGAAGGCCATCGGCTGAATTACTATGGTTTCCAGTAAGAGGATCGGAGACTACTCACCAGGAAAATGTGGATAAGAAAACAGATTAAAATAAACGACATCAACTGTAGGTCTATTCCTAGGTGTAACCCAACCTTAATCCTGACCCTAACTCTAAACTTAACACTAACCCTAATTATAACCCTTATCCTAACCGTAAGCCTAGCCCTAATGCTAATTATGAGCCTAATTCTAACCCCAACGTGCCATCAACACATTGTCCGAACAGTACTTAAAAATGTGATCTAGGTGTAATTTGGTGAATGGCGTTGATATTTCAGCTATGATAATGACAGGTGCCGTTAGCCAACGACTGTCATGCATTCAAAGTCATTAGAGCGTTCGGACTCCTGGGATGCTATTGTTTAACTTCGTCGAAAGTAGCCCAGCTTTTCCCACTTAAAGCCTTTTAAGACCAAAAATAGCCCAATCCCTCCTACTTTCTAATAGAAAACTTCCCGTATGTTTACCCACATATTCCAGATCTGAAAAAATTCTCCGACAGCGGCATACCAGTCAGAAAGTATAGCAACTTTCCTCTGGCTGGTAAAGTGCTTTCTCCACCGTCTCCCAAAAGCGAAACTAGTCTGGTTCTGCCGATTTGTCGCTTTGGGTAGCTTTTGAGTGTCGAGAGTTATCTCTTGATCTTATCTACTAGTAATTAGTATTACACAAGATTAGTTGCCTCATTCAGATTATAATTTAAATGAGGTGACTGTGGAAAATATATACCGCGGCCGAATGACTTTTGTCCACCCAGGCATACCATCAACACTTCAAGATGAACTTATGTATAGGAACTGGTTCATTATGTCCAAAAACTATACCTTTACGGAAAATTAATCTGAAGCATTCTTTATTCTTCACGCAATGAATGTTCTGCAGATTTATTATGTACAGCCCAGGTTTGACTAACTGAATTCCTCTTTTCTGTTGTTGGGATGTATGTTTTGTGCAGTTGTGTTTTTGTATTAACTAGGGTTTCTGAGTGTTCGACTATCGACCAAAGGGCGAGTGTACTGCTTATCAGTCCGCTCCGTCCTCCTTTATGGCTGTGAGACCTGGCCACTGAGAGTGGAAGACATGAAAAGATTAGCTGTCTTTGATCATGTGTGCCTGCGCTCTATCTCCCGTGTGAAGTGGTATAATAAGGTGAGCAATATTGAGGTTTGGCGTCGAGTGCTAGGTAAGGAGAGGAAATCAATAGAGGTTGTGAAGTTACATCGACTGAGATAGTTATTTATTTTATTTATTTTTATTTTTTTATTTTTGATTACAGCTTGATTCCACACTGTATTTTTGGTACAAGTGTGGAATTTTCAGCGTGGATATCGGTAGCCCAAAATTCGCAGGCCGACCATAGATATCAGGTGTGCGTCGGCGTGGGCTCGAACCCCGGACCATGTGCATGGTCGGCGAGAGTCCTAACCACTGTGCCACCGACGCACATGTGTTACGTATGTCTAGCCATCGCCTTCCTCGACGAGCAATGTTAGCGGATATAGGGTCAGGCTGGAAAAAAGCTAGCGGCGGTCAAACGAAAACTTGGCACCAGTCAATGAAATCCACAACAGTTGGTCTAAGCCACGTAGGAAGGTGTAGACTTCCTGACTGGTTGGGGTCCTCGGGACGGTAAAAATCTATGGTTGGAAACAATTGGTGACATGGCTCAAAATCGTTCTCAGTGGCGCAGATGCATCCACTCCTTGTGACATATGATCTTCACCAATGAAACTGTTTTGTTTTTCTTTATTACTCCTCTGTCTCACACCTCTGCCCACTGTTTCTGTTATGCTTTTCATGTACTTTCTTCTCTTGCTTCGCGTGCTACACGGAGTGTGGCGACTTGAACTTCCGCACATTTGTGCAAAGTTCTATGTCGAAAACAGACAGACAGGGTTTCTGAGTACTCGTGCCGTAGGCAGTTTTCTGCGTATGTATGAATTATAAGCATTATGTGTTTTATTTGTGATGTAAGGATCTAGCTCTAAAAATGAAGGGATTTTAGTATCAGCCCCTAATTTCCTATTGTCCCCATTGATTGTTAATGAAGATGAGTTCCAACTTTAAGTTCAATGGCTAGAACCAATCTCCCAAATTAAAGAAAAATATAAATGATCTTGCTCTAAATGTTTTTTCCGAAGGACTAAAATCCCCAAGTATAGATTCTTGTTCTAAGTGTAAGTTGTATCAATTATTTGATTACTCAATTTTTATGAAAATAAATGACATGAGTATCGTACATAGCTTATTTTGCTGTTATATCCCTTCGATCACTGAATTATCGTTTCTCATCCGTGAAGAATATAGGATTTAAATCTGTTTCATCATAATTTTGTGAGTACACAGCTAAAGGAACAGTTTATCTGTGTGCATTCGATAGTTGCTACTCGATCGTCATTCTTCGTAGCACTTTGTTGCGCTTACAGGATTTGAAATCGATAGATCTTGTCAAGTATTACGATTACTGTGCTTTTTTCTATAGTATTCAGTAAATTCCATAAATCAAAGAGTAGTTCAACCCAGTTCAATTGGGTTTTTGCGGAAAAATATGCTTCTGATAGTCCTTTTGACGTGGTGGAGGGATTATGCAAGTGTTTTATATTTTCTTTACTTAATAAAAGAAATAATGGTTCATTTTTGATGAATTTTCCTAGCTTGTGTCTTCTGGAAGTTTATCCACTGCACTAGGAAGTGGGTTTCTGTCCGGCGGAGCACTACAGCAGACTTCGTTCTGCCAAGTTTCGAGTGTATTCGTTATTCTCACCACCTGATTTTTCAAATCAGACTAGTATCGAAGGAATTTAGAAATGTCTTACTCAAATAAGCATGAAGTTATATTTCTAGACAAAAAGGACGCCCGTTCAACTTTACGTCTTGAAGATTACTATGACATTGATCGTAAGTTCTCAAAACCTGGATTCCGTACCGAAAGTGGTCAGTTCAATTGGCACTGTTCTTGTGTTAGTTCGTACATATCTGGTCCATGTGGATACTTCTTCAGAAACTTTATGCAAAACATAGACAAATTTATGAAAAATGAGGATGCTTTTGAGAAGCAACAGAATCGCAATTTATTTGTTAAACTTCACTCTGAACTAATGGGTTGTTTAAAATCTCATTCAGTGTACTACAAGTCTTTTATGGATGAATATGCCTCACCTTTGGATAGTATAATTAAAGATGTTGAATGAAATAACTGAAATATAATTAGCTTCCACATTTTCTTCATATTTGTCTTTTGATTTCGATTTCAGTAGTTAGCGACTAAATGGCGTCTGACAGATGTGGATATTTTATCAAAAGTAAGCAGAGATACTGCCGTCAGCAGCTTTTTCAGGGTTCGAATTATTGTTTCACTCATACAAGTGTAAGTATGTAGTATTTCGCGTAACTGCTGTTTAGGAAACTTCGACAGATAAGGTAGCTTGTCCTCTGGATCCAAAACAGTAAGATGTCCGTAGAATTAACATCAATCCACAGCTTTGTCAATCGTTCAAATCTTGAAGAACACTTGAAAAAATGCAATGCAAGTCGAAAAGTTGAAGCTGTAAGCTAATGATTTCTTACATTAGTTAGTTTACAGACTTATGAAGTACGTGGAATTAATTCCGGTGGTTTAGGTCCCTGTGCACCCGTTTCGACAGTGACATTAGCTTCTGCGTCTGCATCAGCTGTGTTGAAGTTAATAGTACGTTTGGAGAAATTAAATGCAGGTCAGATATAATTTCGTATGACATGTTTGGTGTGCGTTTAAAGTGCAATAAATCCTAGGGATTTTCATTATTTTACACATGATCAAGCCATTCTCTACGTGTGAAACAGTTAAAGAGTGTAGATAGTCCAGTTTACAGACGCATTTTTGTTTCTCACCGTGGCGTTCATTTAAAACTAATATAACTTCACTATCAGCTGTTGTACAAGTCTTTTAAGTGGTAATTCCCTCACTTAGTGTTTATAAGCAGCAAAAATGCTTCTAGTATCAGTAGGGAATATGGTAAGTTGTTTAACAATATGTAAGGACGCTTAGAAAGCCAACCAGATCTCATTAAAATCCCTTCAGTTGGTCATTAGCACAAGTGCTCTCTGTCCTAGGACACAGTGGTCAGTTAACACCCATGCAGCCAAAGTAGCGTGTTTCCGAAAGGAAATCTCTTTTTAAAATGAGAAGGAATGGAAGACTAAGTGTATTTCCAATGTGGAATGATGTCATCACTGTGACTCAACCCATTGCGACTCCTTATGGAACTCTTAAGTGGAATCTAAGTATTAGCCCCTTCACGTGTATTTCTATGGTCTAAAGTGTTTAAGTTTGCACGTATCCAGCTGTTTGATAAGTGTCATTTACGTAATTTGGGGAGACACTGGGCGTAAATATCTGTCAGCTGGAGTTGAATTTATGAAAGTTGTTTCTAACCTAAAACAAGACAGAGATAGCATCTGGTGGTTTAATTCTGAAGTGTTTAAGGACATTGGGAATGTATTGTTGGCCAGATTAATTCTGGTTGTTATATAATGGTCTATGATGGTCACGTCAGATTGATATATATTATTGACCCTTCCAGTGTACATCTTCATGCAATAAACATAGGGAAATCTGCTTAATTAATATGGGATTCATGATCATAGTTCATATGCTCATGCAGAGACTAAGTGTGGGTAGTAAGCAAGTTTTAGACCCGTAATTGTGTGCATTGACCAAGGGTTCCTTCTGTCTTGCTATACCAGTGTGACATGGTGGCTAAAATTAGTACGTATAAAGAGATGAGAAATTTTCGATCATTGATTCTCCATTGAGCTATGTATTAAGTAAGAGTGAGGTTAAGCGCTAAGTGTTAGTGAAAATCGATTGGCTATTCCATGAAGCCTCATCCACCAAGTCAGCTAGGATATATGCAGTGCGGGCTGAAACACTGCCTTCCTTGAAGACCGATGCAAGCTAAAGCAGGATTAGTTTGAAATTTCCCACGTCAAAATACGGCAGTAATACATTAAGTCTTAGGCTCTTGCATTGAACCATGTAGGGAAGTGCAGATTGCTGGACTAGGATCAGCATAACCCCTAGGTTCAATTGTTGGAGACTAGTCAGGGTTATATGTCAAATTCATTCACGATGGCGCAGAAACATTCACTCTTTGTCGTCCTCCGTATCTGGAAAAATTCCCCTAATGTCCATGTCATTATTTTCCTCGTCATATCTATGTTTGTATATTTTATTATCTCTGTACTTACTTGCTTTGTATACGTCTCAGAAGTGTAGCTACTTAAACTGGTACACATCTGCACTAATTTTGCGTTAGCTCGTCAGTCAGGCAGTCAGTAAGTTTCAACCAATGCAGTTAGGTAGTGTTTCTGGGAGGCAGTTATAACAGGGTATTTGGCTTTCACCTGATTCTTCCTTCTCGATTTGCATTACGTGCATAACTTTTTCCGTTAGTTACGGTATCATGTCAAATATTTCTGCGTGAAAGTCATATAGCAGTAGTTGAATAACTCAAGATAATTCTGTTCAGTCGCTAGAATTTATATCATTTCACAGTGTGCGTAACAGATGTTTTGCCTTGAATGCATTTCAAGAGTTTTATTTCAATCCCCATCTGTTCTTCTACAATGAAATCGCTAGAATGTGTTTTCCATTTGCACCTCTTCATTGTTTTCTGAATCTTATGAATAATAAGAATGAGAATTGGCTCAGTAAGTGATGAGAATATGTGATATTTTTTGTAAACGTATATTTTTGCGCCGCCAGTTTGGATTCCGAAGACAGAAGTACTGTTGCATACTTTGTCATCTATGCATTTAACCATTATGTGATAGAAAAAGAAACAGTGAGTTCTGTTGTACATGAGCGTTGCCGCTATATGTGTGAAACTATATACTACTGACTAATTGAGATGGGTAGTTGCACACACCACTGATATGAACCAGTAGTGCTCTTTGATCAGACGAGCAGACGTGATATGAATACCAGACGGCCGTTTCGCTCGGCTGAGGTTGGAAATCGGGTGGTTTCAAGTAATGTAACTCTCTGAACTGAATCAAAACGGATACACCGCTGATGAGTTCGTTTCTGTCCTAATCGTAAACTACGAAGAACTTTACTGAACTGATGTCAGACATATCAGCAACAAACTAAATTACCTTCTAGTGAATAGAGTAAATAAGGAAAAACTCGAGAAGTATACGCGGTTACCGAGGTTCCATATAAAAATAGGTTTAGGCCGTAACCTTAACCCGAAACACTAATATAATATCAATGATTACAAATGGCAGGATTTACTTTATTTCTCTAAGTGGTTTGTAGGAATTCGATTGATTTCAAGGTAGATTTCGTTGTGAATTGATATCTATTCGAAAACTATTGAAAACAAGGGAGCACTGTCCGCGAAACCATCCCCTAGTTGTTTATGCATCACAAATGTGGATCTTGAAAAGGATGTATGCTACACACTTGACTGAGAGATCCTATGCACTTTATGTTAGAGACGATGTTGGTTTTGTCCTGTTTTACTATTACGTCTTCTGCTTTCCTTATTATGAAACGAAGTTATTGTGTTGGTTTATGGGCAGCATGTATCCTAAAAGATTTAAATATTCTAGTAATACTTTCAGAAATGTTATTCAAGTGTAATAGGATGATTTACCTTGTTGTGTTAGCCTATGAATATGTATACCATCATTGGTTTGAAGGTACATATCTTTTGATATAGTCATAATGATTTCCAATTTTCTGGAAACCAGCCAGGGGATATTTATCGCCTAATCTCATAAAGACACGCGTGTCACAGTGTGTGCTGGTATTCTCGTGCTTCATAATTGACCGCATAAGGCTGATTCGGTATTTTAGGCCTTCCTACACACAACCAGAGATATGAACAGAGAAATACATAGCAAATTTCTGGCAGTCAGGTGTTACCACAAGCCGTAACGTGATGGATGTGACCCATTAGGAATCAGGAGAACAATCATATGATAGTTGAAGCTTTACTGCCATCCAGTTTAAGACTACAGAGAAAAACCAATGAACGCGTTCACAACTTCAGTTATTTGAACATTTCTTAAAGCCTAGTTGCTAAATCACCGAAAATACCCATTGAGTTATAAGAAAAATAAAATAAAATTCAGCGAAGAAAGTTATCGTTATCGATGAAATCGTCTTCATAGGCTATACAGTCGTATTTATACCAACCAAAAATGTATAGTAGTCCATTATTGAGTAATGGGGGAGGATGTGACATAACTGATATGATTACTCAGAAGTGGCTTCAAAAGTAAAAAATAAAAGTTGTAAATTACGTAATACTCAACGACTCAAAGGGAAAAGTATTAGAAATTTGATAAGAATAAAATTTCTATTGAATGAGGAGAAAGGTATTTGAGTGTCCATTTAACAAGTGTGAAGAGAGTAAGAAAATGTATCAAAGAAACGTGTTAGAGTGATAATAGTGAGTTAATTATTAAAGTAATAGCAAACCAATAACTAAAAACAGAAATATAAAAAATTATAGGGACCGACTAATGAATATGTGAAGATCATGATAGAATAAGAGACTGGACAAAAGTTTTCTGTATACAGAGTTCGGGGTTGTACTGACGAATTTCCAATGCCTCTTCTATACACAAATGCTGAAACCTAACACATTTTGTACCATTTGGCCTCACCTTGTAGATGTTTTTGAAAGACGACTTGAGCTAGTAACTGTATTGTATTGTCCTTTCGCTAACCATGCCGGACGCTGCTCAGAGATGCGTTTGGAAAGTATGCTCTTTTTGTGGCCAATATAGCTATTAAAGGGACAAAAGTATAAAGTGGGAAAGAATTGTTTGGTTTTCGCCAGCCCGGCTATTCCTATAACATTTTCAGTTACGATGATACGAACAAGTAAGTGTAGGTAGACATTTCTAAAGAAGACCTTTAAAAAGATTGTCGTGAATTACATATACAACTCTAAACTAAATCGAAGTAGTATAAGTCATTCCTGAATACAATTATCACTGTAAATGCTACCGACAAGAAGACTGCAATATCTGGACTTCGCTAGTGATTTTGTTTAATGTTACACAAAGTTGGAGATCTACAGGTGAAAACCAATGAATTAGCAGGAGAAACAGTCAAGACAGAACTTCAAGTGAACGTAGAGCAGAAATAGGTGAAGATACGTAAGCACCACCAGCGATGACAGCAAACGCTAATTACCATCAGTAGGAGGGATTTGAAGAATGTCACCAGTTCCTCTTATCTAGGCAGCGTTGTTTCACCTGTAGGCGGCACGAATGAAGATGTCAAAACCAGGCGGGATGTCGAAGGCAAGACAGAACTTCATTAGTCTGAAATCAGTGTGCAAGTATACTGAATTCAGAATAAAAAACACGACTCAGATTTTAAACACTAGTGCCAAGTCAGTTCTTCTATATGGCTCATCGACTTCGCGTATCACTAAAAGCGTTTCCAAAAGGCTATTGCAGATGTAAGGATAAAACGTGGGCACTTTGGTAGAGTATAATTACAGTATGGATAAAATTTTATTTTGATAAACTTACACAGTGTGATACAATAATATTTACTGATAACGTTTCAAGCACAATTTTTTCATCATAATCATACCGTATCACATTCGGAAATAATATTAGTGTTATCAATTTTTACTCATGTTTATAAACGAAGCAAAAAGGTTATGTGAGTACCTTGATATGATTATGAGCAATAAATTGTTCTCGAAACGTCATCAGTATAACACGGTGTGAGTTTATCAAAATAAAATTCTATTCAAAATGGAAGGCTACTGCAAACTTTCACCAACAGCTGCGTTCGCTGACTCAACACAGAATAACTGATGACCTACTAGAAAGTATAAGCACCAAGGAACTCTGGGAGTGAACCGACCACAAACCTATAGCTCAACAAATATGTCAGCCAAAAAAGACTAAAGGAGACAGGATGCAATGTAGAGGTTCTGCAGATGTCCGATGTTTCACTTGGAACCCAAGGGATTAACAGTAATAGTGCTGCCAAACTGGATTATCTCCAGCTTATCTACAATTTTCAATGTATTGCAAAATAAACCTGAATGTCTATCAAATACAGTGTAGTGAATTTTAATATCATCTACTTCCTTGTGGGGTTCACCATCCATGTGAGAAGTTCGAGGTGCTCACAAACCTCATCTAGCCGGCAGTGAGCTCGATAAAGAGGGAAGGTTGGCTGTGAGGTTAGAAAACTAACCCCTTAAAGGTACATTAATACCACAACTACTGAAACGTCACACCTCAACCTTGAAGCATTAGGTGCCACTCGAAACACATAACAGTTGCGATGGTGTTTAAAATATTATTTGTAATCAGTAAACCACATCATCACAATTATGTTGAGAAAGAAAACTTGATTAAACTAACTCAATTATATTTTCACCATTTTTGAGACATCGAAGTGATAAATCTGAAAAAAATTTCAAAAACAGACGAGAAAAGAACCAAACGTTACAAAAAACAGTTAAGGAAAAACTTAGAGTATTTTAGGGCATAAGCATGTAGGAATTAGGATGGTGTCAAATCTGATCACGGATTGATATCAGTTGGAGAACCATTATAAACCAGAGAGTAGTGGACAGCTGTTTTGTTCTAGTTTGTGACCCTTCAACAGTACGCACCTATCCCTTGACTAGGGGTGGACATAAGACCATCAGGTTACGAGGTGAGGTTGTTGACGATTCACCCACTGAGACGGAATCGAATGGCCATGAATTTTAACTTGTATGTGTTCGCGATTTAGCGCCACGACCACCCAATGTCACTTTAAGTAACTGTTTTCTTACCTAACTTGGTGGACTCCGCTGGTTACTACTTTTTACCTAAACTACAGATTAGTTTCTACGTAGAGCTGTCCAGTACTCCTAGGTTTTCCAGTGATTCTCTGACTGATGTCAGTTCACGATCGAACTTCTAAATAAACCAATCCCTGCAATCGGAAATTCTTTTCTGTGATACACCAAAAGGCAAATTATGATCCTTTTTTACAGGTGTGACAGTATCTTGAAGCTTAAATGATCGTTTGTACAAGCAATTCTCCTTACTTCCTTGTCATAATTTGAAGTCATTTCAAGGGTAATGATGAAATATTTTATTTCGATTAATTGGGTTTAGTGAAGCGCTCAATAATTCAATGAAGTTGTCATATTCATATGGTACCTGTACCTGTTCCATGGAAAGACATTAAAATAGTCCCTGTCTCTAAATCTGACAATAGCAAGAACGTAAAGTTCAGACCCATTGCCATCACTTCCCCGTTTCTAAAGCTTATGGAAAAACTAGTACTTCTTAAACTCGAACCCTCCCTTAAAAGCTTTGAAGACCCCGAACAATTTACCTATAGACAGGGTAGGAGCACTTTAGACGCTGCAGCCGTCTTACACAACAGTATCGTCTCATCATTAGATAAAGGTACCAAATACGTTCTCTGCACGTTTTTCGACTTCACTTCTGCTTTCGACTCTGTACCTAGATGTCTCTTGCCAAATGAGCTCTCTATGACACAAACTGAGTCCTGGGTCACTAACTGGTTGCATTCCTACTTCTATAACAGAATGCAGTATATCGTATACAAAGGCAATTCCTCCTCTGCTGTTCTCACTGGAGCTCCTGTCCCTCAAGGTGCTGTACTCTCCCCACTTCTCTTTTCTTTCTTTCTACACGACCTACTATCTTCAAATGACATTAATTTTGTCAAATGTGCTGACGACCTGACTGTATCTTTGCCTCTCAAATTTCAAAGTGACTGCTCTAAGCTAAATGGCTTTTTATCAGAAATCAGCCAATGGTCCAAGGAAAACGGTCTTCCATTATGGGTAAATTTTGTTTGATAAAGTCTCACAGCGTTATACAGTAGTGTTTACTGATGACGTTTCGAGCACAATTTATTGCTCATAATCATATCAAGGTGATATGATTTGATATGATTATGAGCAATAAATTGTGCTCGAAACGTCATCAGTAAACATTACTGTATAACGCTGTGAGACTTTATCAAACAAAATTTACCCATAATGGAATTACACTCTACCACAGTGCACAAGTTTTATTCTTATATCAATGAAAACGGTCTTACCTGAAATCCCTCTAAATGCCAAGCTGTCAATTTCACCTTTAGGCATAAATCTGACCTAAACAAACTGGTTAGCACTCATGAGGTGTGCAACATTGATGTCACTGAAATAGACACCAAGTCAGAAATTAAATACCTAGGCGTCATTCTATCTGCTAATCTTTCCTGATCGTCTCATATCTTGATGATTTCTAAGGAAATATTCAGTCTTACCTTCTACATCAAGAAGTTAAGACATTCTGGTATAACCCAACCCTTACTCCTACAATTCGTTAACTCTCGCATTCTGCCTATTATTCTCTATTGTTCCCCCTTAGTTTTTCCATGGCTACTGAAGGAAGACTATACCTTATTACGCAGGAGGGTAAGCAACGTGCCACTTAACCAGCTTGTTAATATTCTGGTTGACAGGCACATAATAATAATTTTTCCCTCAAGTTCCCCAGTGGAACATAGGGCTTCAAGCTAGTGCCTTGAAGTTTCTGTAGCAGAGTTTATTTTACAGGATGGGGTTGCTAGCCTTATGCCCAACCTTTGCTCTTTACCAGAATTATTTCTGGCTTAGAGAGGTAAAGGTGTGCGTCGGCCGGGGATCGAACCCCGGACCATGTGCATGGTCGGCGAGCGTCCTAACCGCTATACCACCGACAGGCACATAGACTCATGAAAAATGGGTAAAATCCATTTTATCTAACTCACACCACCCTCTTCATTCACAACTCTCCCCTTGTATCTCATAAGGTAAAACCAGAAGCCTATATAGAAAACTATATGCTCGCACTAGTAAGTACAAAAACTCAACCATACCCTGCTTAGCTCGTGTTCTGTGCGATAAAGAAAGCATTAGGCGTGAAACTTATGACTTATTAAATAGTCAGTAGAACAACTGGATCTCGTCTTTCCAACTCATATCTTTTATAGGTACAACGTTTTCTTTCTTTCTTTTCCTTTTCTCTCTCTCTTTTTCTTTTCTCTGTTATGTGCTACTTTTGTTTCTTTCTCCTGCTTACACCAGTAAATATGCTAGCATCTACTTTTCTAACACCTTCAAACACTGTTCAATTTTTGGCTTTGCTACCGACATACCAATATGTTGTTATAATGAACTGAGATTTCCTCAATCTATGTAGAATTTTATTTATTGATAATTTACTAACTGGATGCAATACTGTAGTAAAATGCTGAAAATTCCATTCTGTATGACAGGTACTGTTTTGGAATAGGGCAGATTATTATTATTGATATGCAACGTATTTTGTAATACAGTGTCTCCTGTCCCAGTAGCCGATGATTTATAATATTTATTTGCAATTTTAATCTCTTTCAAAGTTGAAATACTTTTCAGTACTTCAAAAAATATTCCGTCCATCATGGAGAGGATATCTGATATAGTGAAATTATGTTTATTAATTTTAAGTATAAATCTGGTTTCTAAGTTTCAGACTGGATAAACGTATATTTTGGGGAGATGAAAAGTGTAATATGCTGATAATCCAAGTGGCTAATATTGCCTGTCATTTAATCTGACACTTGGAACATTTTCAGCGTCCTCTTCATAGAGATAATTAATGATCTGTTATGCATAAAATCAGAAACTTTCCGGAGTTTATGATTGTCATAAGAATATTTTTCTTCTTTTAATTGAAGTAGAGTAATTAATGGCATAAGGGAATTGTATTCCACGTACAATTTTTGATTTGAAAACCTAATTTCTACTGTGTAAGGGTAAAATTAATCGTATGGTGTTTTCGTGCATAGTATAGCAAACACCACAACAGATATTCCATCTATGTAATAAAAATTCGATGAAACAGCTTCAAAACAGCCAAATATAATACCATATACTACTGATTGATTGGAATGAGTAGTTGTATACTACTCACAGCTAATAGCGTCTGCTAGCCAGATCAAAGTGATCTAACCACCTGAAGCCAGTCTTGCTCATTTACGACTGAGCTCATCAGCGGTGTTCCTAGATTGTCCGAGATCAGATGGCTAAATCACTTCACAGCACCAGAATTCTGGGGGAACGGATAATATACTAAATCAAATTCGCAAATTGCAAATTTCATTAAAGTCAAACGTGGCATCTAATGTGATTACAGCGCTCTTCTAAGCACATAATACACAATCGCTTGAGACGAACTACCCGATACAATTCAAACTGTATTTAACCACCTTCATTCTATCTCGTCAATTAAGCGGAAACGAAAGGGAGGTAGGTTTGTTTTGTTGTAGCTTATATACTCACAGTTATTTTTACATGAATTCAATTTCTTATGAATGAATTTAATGTTGTTTCTGCACAATAATTTCTATTCTAAATTTTGATAATTATGAGGTAAAATAAAATACACTACCACTGGTGCCAATGTCGATTATGTCTTCTGTTTTCATTTCATTATTTTAGAATTGAATCTAATTGGTCAAGTGAATGATCTGTCAGATGGTGATATTCATCCCTTAGTTGCTTTCACACTAAATAATCCTCGTCATTGGTGTTCGAATGGTTTTCCCGGCTTTAAAGAGATCCCTTCTTTCACCAGACTGATAATACATTGTCGGATAAAGGCAATAATGAAGGTGATTTTGATTTCCGCACTTTTCCTGAATTCATGAATGTTTAAAACTCCTTGTTGGACATGCTTATTTTACCATTATTTTTTTAAATTTTTGATTACAGCTTGATTCCACACTGTATTTTTTGGTACAGGTATGGAATTTCCAGCATGCGATATTGGTAGCAGGCCGACTATAGATATCAGGTGTGCGTCGGCAGGGGATCGAACCCCGCACCATGTGAATGTTCGGCGAAAGTCCTAACCACTGTGCCACCGACGCACATTCAAAGTATTTGAATAGCCTAACAACGTGTTTCCTGTCATCAAACAGAAATAATGTTCAGTGAATGAATTAGTTATTATTCTAGTTTGCAGCTGTATTTCATCCTACATGGTGTAGTATTGCTTAATTAGTTTTGCTATATCTTTATAAATTGATTCACCAGCATCGAATTCTCAGAGTGTTCTTCATTCTCCTTACTTCTTTTCTAAAAGAACACTTGAATTTTGCGTTAACTAGTCATTTAAATGGAAGTTCCTTAATGTTGAATAGATGAGGGAGCACACTAATCATTTTTAGCCAACTGATTGAGGTAAAAATGCAAAGACCAATCCAATTAGGTATTAATAATCAATGCTTTTCAGGATTTAGGGGATATCTTTTCCCACACATAGCCTTAAACTAAACCCTAATCAATAATACAGGATTTAATGAATTCATCGAATTTCGGTAGGAATTTTTGTAGACCACGGACATGATATTAACGCTATCAAGTTATTCACTGTTGTGTCGACAGGCAAAGAAACGAAAAGATGATTGCATTTGTGTAGCCTTGTGCAATCAGAGTTCATAAACCGCCGTCTCTGTGTACAGAAGGGAATGTTGGTGGTTATTTGAATCTACCGTGGTAATATCTTTTGTTTATTATCATTCCATTCTCTCTCTTGATATTATTCTTGACTCATTCAAAACTCTACTTTTTTCAGCAGCATAATATTAACTCGTTTCATAATAACAATATTGGTAATATTGAATAGTAATCTAATTATTTGGTGTGCAGTTTCTGACACTTTCAAGTTCTTTCTCATTTAAGTGATGTAAGTGAACAGTAATGCATTATTATCTTCATTTTAATCTGTCATAGTCCCTCCCCCATCCCAATCTATCTGAACATGACCTGAAAAATATTCACACCTGTCGTTTGGTATGATTGATTCAATGTGACTTGTTTTCTTAGCAGTCTTATATCTCCAAATGTAATTTTAATAGTATATATAATATATCATTGTATGTAGAGTGTTCGGCTGAAGAGTTCTACCGAAATTTGATGAATTCAATAAATCCTGCTTTATTAACATTCGCTGCTTGTTTTAAATTTTTATGGGAAAATAAATGTTATTAAATCAATAATTTCTAACCTTATTTTTGGGTTAGTAGTTGGTTCACTCTAACCGTAACCGTAACTATTGAAGCTAAACTATAGCCATTCAGATGAACTTGGAGTTATTCCCGAAAACTTTTAAAGAAAGTCATCTATCCTGTGTAATATTCTCTGAGCATTTTGTTATTGGTGTACTTTAGTTGGTGGATTCAAAGTCATTGACGCGATCATACGGTTGGGAATAATAATATTTATTACAAGTTATACTCTGATATTTGATACCACTAAAAAAAGTAATTTTGTTACTTTTATCTATTTTTTTCTTCAAGTTGATAACAATAACAGCCTAGATGAAGATAACTTTCGTGTGGATCCGCAAACTGTAGTCCGTGGATCAATGCGTCATGTATATCAAAATGGATGTTTGATTCGTGTATTAGAAAAGGAAGGCCTGCTGTCAACGAATAGTTTATATATTGAATTCGGTGCTGGTCGCGCTGGACTATCTCATTGGATTAACAACTGTTTAGCATCTACTGAATTAGGTCGACGCTGTTATGATCATTATCCAGGTGTATGGCCAGTTAAAGCACCTGAAACTAATTTTTTAGTTGTAGAGTTATGTTCCATTCGTGATAAGGTGAGCTTTATTCTTCATTAAACAGAGGAGAAATTTCAACAGTTATTTACTGAATATTTAACAAATTTAGCTGTTCTTGTTTAAAGGAATGCTCTACTTTCTCCTATTTGAATAAATAGTTATCAAGTATGAAAACAACAAACAAGTAACTAAACTTGTGTGTAACTAATTAATGTGGAACAAGTAACCGTTTTCTCCTGTTACATTTGCACGCAGTGCTTGGTGTAAATCAAAAAGTGGAATCTTTATTACCTGTGAACCTGTTTCTTACGTTGTGATAGCAATATTGTTATTCAGCCACCTCTTTTCTTGACAAGCATTATTAACTGACGTAAGATGGGATTAGGAAAGAGTTAAACACGGTCAAATCAAACCTGACATCAATCAATGTGATCTTAGATTGTTGGTTTGAGCCACATAGGGAAGCTCGACACTGACTAATTGGGATTCTCAGAATGTTAAGAATACTGGTGGCTTGAGACTAGACTAGGGTGATATGGCTGAAAATCGTTTCTTTTTTTCATTAGCATAGATACATTCACTCTGTAATCTCTCATGCCCATTAAATCCTCATGTTTTTTCGTCCATGTCACCACTTCTTTCCCCTGTAAATGTTTAATAATAATAATAATTTGCTTTATTCCAAAAACAGTACTAATGATACAGTAAGGAATTTTCACCATTCAGTACAATATTGCATCTCATTTACTCAAAAACGATACATAAAAATAAAGATAAGTATTACATAATAATAATAAAACGTTGTTATAGCAGCTACATAGCAAATTACTGTATGCAATACGGAGAAAAATATGCGTAAAGTATAAAATTGTAGTAACAATAGTAATAACAACTAAAATAATATAGCAAAGTTATAATTAAACGATAGAAAGTGTGACACCCTAAAATTACAGAAAGATCAGCAATGAAAGGGTCGATTCACTTTGTGAATTACATAGTAACTTATGTTTCACGTCTAACGGAGTCTTCATCACATAAAATACGGGCTAAATAGGGTATTGTAGAATTTCTGTACTTAGTGGTTTGAGCATATAACTTTTTATATTGACTTCTCGTCCTGCCTGATGAGATACAAGGGGATAGTTGTGAATAAACGGGGTGCAGAGAGTCTGACAGTACGGCCTTTGCCCATGTTGTATAGGAATTTATTTTGTCTCTCGACTATAGTATTGGCGAACTCACGCAGTGGCAGACCACAAGCCCTACTCACAGCATTTAATACTCTTCGTAATATGATGTAGTCTTTTTTGAGAAGCCCAGGAAAGATGAATGGAGAGCAATAGAGTACAGTAGGTAAAATACAGGAGTTTAAAAATTGCAAAACTAAAGGTTGGTTGATACCTGATTGTCTTAACTTTTTAATATAGAAGTTAAGACGAAACATTTTCTTAGAGAGGTCAGAGGAAAGAACTAATCCAAGGTATTAAATGCTTGATGTGGTTTCAATTTCAGTGCCACCCATGATACAGGCATCATGCGAACTAACTAGTTCATGTGAGTCACGTCGATGCTTGAAAGTAAAGTTAACTGCCTGACATTTGGAAGGATTTAACATAAGACCATTTGACTTAGACCACTTGCTGATGTCCAACAGAAAGCTATTAAGTTTGGAGCAGTCAGACCCGGAAGTGATAGGCAGTGATACAGTCAGATCATCTGCATATTTTACAAAGTCAGCTTCGTTTAAATGAGGCATGTCGTGTAGGAAGAAAGAAAAAAGAAAAGGAGAACGGACGGCACCTTGAGGAACACCGACTTTTGTAAGCGAGGTAGAAGAGGATTTGCCATTATATACAGTACACTGTATTCTATCAGAAAAACAAGAATGCAACCAACTCTCAGCCCAGGATCCAGTTTGCGTCAGCGAAAGCTTATTTAATAAAAGGCCCCTAGGTACAGAGTCAAAAGCAGATGTGTACTCTAGGAAAGCAATACGAACATATTTGGCACCTTTGCCTAAACAAGAAACAACATTATGATGTAAGACAACCGCAGCATCCAAGGTACTTCTACCATGTTTGTATGTAAAGTGTACATGTAATATGGTAGCCCAAAATGTTCAAACAGGCAGCCAAGGTCATGCATTCTTCTTTTGAATTTCTTTTCTCTATCTTTGTATGGCACATGGAGTGTAGCAACGTGAACTACTGCACTTCTGTGTGAAATTCTGTTGAAACTCAGCCATTTAGTTGTAATCATGTATGAAAAATTACTTTATGTTGAGAATAACTCCATAATAACATATTTATTAAAACTATTTTGAGTCTCTTGAATCTGAATAAAGAAGTATATCCACCTGAGGTTTTTCAAATAGGACGAAATACACGTTATAGATTAGACCACTAGCCACCATTAACCAAATAGTCTATGTCAAATTTCGACATAGAACTTTGAACAGAATCGCAGCAGTTCAAGTTGCCACACTCCATTTAACACAAAAAGGTAGAGAGATTCAAAGAAACTTCAATAAGCATAAAAGTTCTAGGGAAAGAACAGTAACATTGAAAACCATGAGGATTTAATGGTTGTAAGAGATTACGAAGAGTGCGAGCATTATTGCACTGAAAAATGATTTTCAGCCATATCACCAACAGTTGCAGGCCATTGGTTCTTAGCATCCCGAGGACCCCAACTGGGCACCTGCCTATACTGGCTGTAACTAACAATCAGAGACTTCACGGATTGGTGCCATGTTTTGATCTGACCACCACCCCAAACATTTTTACACTCTAACCACCTTATGTTAGCTAACATTCTTCGACGAGGAAGGCAATAACTTCCCATGCATAACACACGATCCTAGCTATCTCATCAAATGCAGCTTCACAACCTCTTCGACTGACTTCTTTTAGTTATGTATCACTCTACGCCTAACTTCCATATTATTCACTGTACCATGTGAATTAATATGGGTCAAAGCCTTGATTGTTGAAGTAATTACTGCAAAGGTGTGCATGCTTAGTTCATATTGCATACCATGTTTCTCTCTCCTGTAGCACTAATCTTCAGGGTGTTTTAAAAGGATCACATAGTTTTACAACGAACGTTCCAATCACCGTGTAATTGGAGTATTTTAAAATATTATTATTATTATCACTTTATTTTCATCCTCATGAAAAATTAAGACTTTATTGATATTTCTGTTTATATGGATGTTTATTCCGTCCAAAATTGTGCACATCATCAAGTTAAATACTCTAGATTTATGTATGAGGGAAGAATTTTTTTCAACATCAATTTTCTGTACACACACAAAAAAGAATTCAAAATATAAAACTTTGGTATGAAGTTCATTTTAACTGTTTGTAACCAACACCTTCAATTCTTAATGTGGATAGCCAGTTTTATAAAAGAATGACACATACAATTTATTTATTTATTTAAACGCATACAAACTTGGTACAATATGGCACCAAGATGGATGCGCCACACAATAATAATGAAACAACATAGATCAAAAGAAAAAAAGAAAGAAGAGGATATATATACATAAGTAGAGAACGGATAAAGAACTTCATCTTGAAGGAAAACAGTCATGCTTAACAAGTTCAAACAGTATTCGTTAACTATCATCGGGAAGGGAAGAAAGAAGGAAATTGCAACACGTGTAATAGCACGCGATAAGTTTCATTGATTGTTTGTTGCTTCATTAAATTCATTGTGTGAGGGCTGAGATACTGCCCGGGCGCCCAGACCGAAGCAGGTAGTTTTCATAAGGGACCACCTCCAAACCTTTGACTTAGAGTCTAATCCACAAGGCAAAGGAGCAGCGTCAGGAGCTTCATTCCAATGGTTTCCGGTGTCCCATATGGGTTCATACGCCATTTAATCCGATTGGATTCTGGGGCTCATGTACCCCTTGGTAACTGCTTCTAGTTTAACCGCTATCCAAACAACCTTCCTGACATGGTAGGACCTGCAGGGAGTGGTCCCAGTCAGTTTAGCATGTTGGGTCATTACGGTATTCAAGCCCGACCACCACGACAAGGTAGCAGTTATCTTACACTTCATCTTGATTCAATTGTTTGTTGAAAAAATAATTCAGATTTTAGGCTTGTTTTCTTCAGTATTGGTGTTGTTCCTCAAAGAAAATAAGTCAGCTCATTTTACTTAGACAATTCTCTTCAGCTACAGACAGTTTGAAAAATACAGATAAGATCAATAAAGTTAAGAATTATGAGAGGGAGAGAGAGTTGAACTAAGCTCAGTCATCGTAGCAAAAAATGAAATGATGACACAAAAAATTATACTTAAAATGAAAAGAAACTAGCGCTGTTTATAGTAATTTTGGAAAAAAATTCAACAGCTGTTATGTGATAAGAAATCCGTTAGGTATGACACGATAAACTTACTGCGACACTCTAACAAATAGTTCCATTAGTTTTTGTTTTCCTTTCCTCGTTACAATTACACTGTTGTTCCTATCTTCTATTTCACACCAATTTTATACTTCATATCCTGTGGTGTATTGTTTAAAATGTAAACGCAACGCTGTTTCTTTTTATTTGTGTCCTTTTTTTGGGTTTTACTTTTTGATTTTAAAATCTTATAAAATTTATGAGGTATTTAGATGCAATATATTGTAATGCACGCTGAAAATTCCATACCTGCACTACAAATACTGTTTGGAATAAAGCTGTTATTATCATTATTATTATTATTATTATTATTATTATTATTATTATTATTATTATTATTATTATTATTATTATCCAGGAGGTATATTGCGTAATAAGATACAAGAAAGGTATTTAAAAGTGATTTGAAGTCAATTTTTTCTTCTTTTAGCCTGTTAAACTGATTCGCAGATGTCACTTCTTCCTCAGGATTACTCTATTAAGCCACGGAACCATTTGCAAATAGTATTTTTTTGTACAGACAATACTCTAAATTGGTTCACTTATAAGTGTCACCGATAGTTGTCAAAGTAGAAATTAAATGTGGAAATTATTGGAAGTTACTGAATGAAATTTTACTTAAAACGAAAAATTTTGAATAATTTTTCCTGTGCTTAATTCATCACTACAAACATAAAAATAAAAGATAAATTCTTTCAGGCAGACATAAAATTTTCATTTCGGTTATGTGGGCATGTGTTGTTCGTCTCTTTGTATTAACGATTCGCTGATATGTTTTGAGGTTTTTTCTATGAGAAAACAATCGGATCAGATAGCAGTGTAGTACAACGATTGGTTACTCAGTTCATATCCAGCTTACCGGATGTTATATCCTCCGTTAAAGTTGTGATTTATGACTTTAAGCCTTTCCTACTTTGAAAAAGTGAATGTCACAAGTTCGATGGCCATTTCACCCATCTAGATTTTTTGCATTCTGATAGCATCATTGCCCATCATAAGCAGAAACATGCACGTGGTTTTTGAATGCAATTTCGTAAGTTGAATAGGCATTTCAAGTTTGATCATAAATTGTTAACAGTTAGTGAACCATTGAAAACAAGGGAGTACTTGTTTCTGTCACAATGGCCGAATCGTCAACGAGCTCACCTCGTAATCTGAAGGTTCTGGGTAAGTACTGATGAAGATTCCCAAACTGGGATAAAACGGTTGTCCAGTACTCTTCGGCTTTCGATAGTTCTCTGAACGATATCAGTCTGTGATCACACTTGAGACTAATCAAATCCCTACAAACTAACACTTGAAAATGATTATGGATTAGTATTCAAATACAATGTTTGTGTTTTTCAGTATTAAGATAACCTTGATATTTTCTGCTCCTTATCCGAAGTTGTATTGTCTACTGAAACACTAATTCAGCCAATTGGATTAGGTAATATTGAGGTCTGAGTTGAAGAAATGAAAAGGTTGACTGTTTTCGATCATAGATGTCTGCGTTCTCTTTCTCACGTTATGTGGTTTAATAAGGTAAGTAATGTTGACGTTAGGCGTAGAGTGTTGGGCAGGCAAAGAGGGAAAATCAATCGACGAGGCTATAAAGTTAGATAGATTGAGATGGCTAGGTCACGTGCTGCGCATACCTAACCATCGCCCCCTCCCCGTCGGGCATTACTAGCTGATACAGGTGCAGGTTAGAAGAGAGTAAGTGGTGGCCAAACAAAAACATGGCATCAATCCTTGAAATCCTTGACAGTTAAACTGAGTAAGGTAGGGAGATGCAGACTTCCGGGTTGGGGCCCTCGGAACTCTAGGAATCAATGGCTGGAGACAATAGGTGACATGGCTCAAAATCGTTGTCAATGGCGCAGATGTATTCAGTTTCTGTAATCTTTCATATTCCTTTCTACCATTACTCATTCTGTTTCACTCTTATACCTGTCAAACTATTAATTCTCTTCACTCATCTTCTTGTCTACCTTTGTGTGCTATTTTGAACGTGGCAACTCGAACTGGTGCACTCCGGTGCCAAGTTCTATGTTGAATCCAGACAGGCAGAATATTGAGGTCTCTTTTCACATGTGGATTAATAGTACAATTTCTTTATTTTCTTACTTTCTCTCTAATTTTTCGTATGATTTCATTCATCATATCTACTCTTTCTCCCTATTCATTAGATGGATAGACGTCAACGCGGTGAAGGAAATTTTACACGCCTTAGAATTAATATAGCTGACTTGGATCTAAGTAAGTGGCTTCTCTTTTTTACTGATATAGTCCTCATATAGACGAATGCTATTATTATTATTACCTAGTCTGTATGTATCTTACCTATTACGCATAGTGTTTGCTATATAAAGTTCAAAGAAAGCCATAATTAAAATACTGAAACTTTTAACATGTACACTATCAGTTTCTGGGTGTGTAACTGCCATCATAAAAGACTCATTAAAGGAAGTATTTTTAACATATAACATTAAACATTTTGTCTGATTGAAATTTATAGAAGAAAAAAAGTAGTATGAAGCGTTCAAATGAAAAAACACACAGATATAATTGGTGAATTGGTTACCCACTTTGATAACTATAACTCTTTTATTTTGGTTGATAATAAATACTGAAATTTTCTCGTAGTCGAACCGTCTGTGTGAAAACCGACTTCTTTTGTAGTTTCACTACGCTAATATGTTCTTCCTTTTGATCAATACTTATGCCTTCATTAACTTTCGAAAACCCCCACTTTTATGAGTTAAACATATAAGTTAAAGACATTATTCTCATATTAGATGAGTTTATTTCATTATAATATTCAATTATACAGTACTGATAACTGAATCAAATAAACGTATCTACTATGGACCTGAATTCTGCCACAGTACCCCAATGCTACACTTTCGTTATACGCATTATCTTTTGTAAAACTGAACTTAAACTATTTAATAGTCTGAACTGCTGTATGTATGTAATATACATCCAGTAAAGCTTTTGCCAAGTAACTTTTAAAGACACAACAGCATAATTCTGCATACTTCCTCAAAAACATGGGCGAATTATTTAAATATAACGAGTCTTGCTAAACTGTTCAGCATTTGTGTAGTAATTTAATATTTCAAACAGCGAACTTCATGGGGTAAATAGCGATACCATTTACAGCACAAGGCTTGGGATTCCACGAATCCCCCGCCAGTTATATTGAAATATTACGTTTTACAAGTATAAAGAAGTTCACATCCAATATTCTTGTTATATTTGCTACAGAATAACACCAATACTTATTAGTTTTGATACCAAAAAACCACTCACTCCAACCAGTAGTAGTACTTCTTAGTCACCCACCAAAATTGCGAACATTCTCCGTCATCTCAAGAACGTCAGTACGTTAGTGATCCAATGATAGAGTGCCCGCCAATCACGTACGTGGTCCGGGGTTCGATTCCTCGTTGACGAACTCATAAGCCATGCCTAGTTTGCTAGCCGACAGTAAGCCGGAAAAAGAGGCGAGATTCGGCGTCGGGCTACCAACCTCACTGCTTAAAAAACAACACACCTACTGAAACTTCAAACCTTGAAGCTTTATGTTCCACTCGGGACTCAAGGAATGAAAAAGAATTCGTCCGGCGCAAAGGTTCTGTAGAATTTCTTCATTCGTTATCATAGAAATACTTAGATTTGTCGTGATAGTTACATAAAATTTCGTGTTCAAGTCTTGACTTCTTTTGTAAATGAAAAAAAAATAAACACTTCGGATAAAATTTCATTCATTTCCTTTTATTATTGCAGATTCAGACTTGTATATGGTGATCATGAACACCCAAAATCAGATTCTCAAAGTATTATAAATTTTTAAAAAAAAACTTTGAAATTTATCAGAATCCTATGCAGTTAGATATAAAGTCGAATCTCTATCACGTATTAGGATTGTTCACTTCTTGGTTTGGATAAAACTCATGAAAGTTATTTTCCCACATACACTGAACTTGAGTGTTATTACCACTGATATATTGCATACCGTTCTGAAATGGTGAATAGCAGTGTCACATCTTTGTTGTAATAATTGACACCGCGAGAGAGAGAAAAGTTGAAACTTATGAAGAAATTCAAATTTTCATCCTAGGAAACTAAATAAATATTCATACAAATTAATGATGAGTTATTATAAGATAGACTTCCTTCCGATTTTCTTCAATCGTCTAATAATGGTGAGTCTGCAAGCTTGCTGATTATATATGGTACAGTCGGTTTATGGAATTCAGTCATTACCAGTAAGAACTGGACATATGAAATGTGTTGCTAATCAGTGACCATTCAATGTAAACTTTAAGTGAATTAAAATTACTCTAAGTTATTTCAACACGTGTTTAAAAAAATATTACGATACTATTTGACTTTAGTATTTCTTTTGATTTCACAGCTCGTGTACAACTCATACAAGAGAACAAAAGACCAGTGATTGCTGTGGCGAAACACTTGTGTGGTGATGCTACAGGTGAGTGCATACTACCTCGAAAACTGAATTCTATTCTTCATAAAGATAAGTTGATCATAGGAAACATTTTTCAAGAGGAGTGATGTCGAATATCTAGAAAATATATTACTTGTCATTACATGAAAATAGAAATGTTGCTGTAAGCGTCGTCGTTAGGGTACCCACTCAATTTTCTTGACAATGAGTGAACTTCCCTTAGTTCAGTCTCTCACCAACTTGTAGATGCACATTGCTGAAACGTCCTGATGTAAAACAATATGTAGTACTTTCAGATTAATAATATTTGTTTCTCTCTATACCTAGTCGCACTGTGTGATACACTTATATTGTAAAACCAATTGTGTGTTTGGCTACTGTCGTTTGAATTATGATTGTCAATGTTTCTTTGGATGCGGAATTAGCTGCGATAAACAGTTGGGACGCCGGTGGGTGCGCACCGATGAATTATCCCGAACTATGATAAAACTGCTGTCCAATACTTCCTGGTTTTCCCGTGGTTCTCTAACTGATGTCAGCTCGTAATCAATCCTGTAACTAATCAAAATCTTCACAGATGAAACCTTCATTAAATACGTCTATCTTTGCCATATTCTACTTGGGAAAAATTTTACCCACTTTATCTCATGCTATCAGAACTTCATACAACAGTGCAGTAAAATAAACAAAATGAACCGTTTTATGTCTGAACAACATAGATGTTTGCTGTTTACGAATAATACTGATACTGTAACGACAGAAAATGAGAGTCAGGCAACAGATCGTTTATTGAGAAAATCAACAGTTATTATAGATTTTCATGTACATTAGTATAGATTATCATCTTCTGATAGGTGGTTTCTCGCTGAACTTTAATCCTTCATCGCTTTGTGGCCATTTTTTGGAGTTCAGATTACCTATCAGCAAATTGTGTCCGCCTACGCAAAGTCGGCTGTGATTGGTTGTTAAATCAATCTTTGTTCTTGTTTTTCCCATTACCAATATTTAGGACGTAAACATTGACGTAAATTACTGTCTACCAATTCTGGCTAGCAGACAGCTCTTACCACAATACAAATAATTTATAATTATATTTCAATAGTTAACACACAATGATAAGTTCTTATTTTGGTAATATTTCGAGCAAAATTACTGCCCGTGATTACTGATATCATCACTAATACACTTCGATGACTGTGAGTTTTGTCACTCAAGCTAAGCAGGTGAAATATTACAATCAGACTAAATTCATTAGTAAATATGCAAACTGATTTCCGGATAATAAGTAATTTGACTGCATAATGCTAAATGTCAACACAAATTTATTGTTAATATATGAATCGTAGTCAAGAAGCTAACTGAATACAACATGACTGTTTACTATTATCCGATAATAGATACGAGAGCTGATGCATTTCGTTAGGGGGCCTTAAGCGACCGAGGTTTGATTTTTATTGGCAACTTACACGAAAGTCTTATCTGTAACTCCCGCAAAGACTTGGACAATTAACGGTTTGTTTGCTGTTGATTGCTAGTAGCAGTTTTAAACGAACTGATAAAAATTAATCTAATCCATACCAATGACTAGCTGTTGGACGAACTTGGCTGGAGTTCTAGCGAGAAGTCGTAAACAGGTCTTGTGTGAGGGTGAATAATTGCCGATGACACTGGCTGGTTGTGGCGCTAAATCGCGAACACATACAAGTTAAAATTCATGGCCATTCGATTCCGTCTCAGTGGGTGAATCGTCAACAACCTCACCTCGTAACCTGATGGTCTTATGTCCACCCCTAGTCAAGGGATAGGTGCGTACTGTTGAAGGGTCACAAACTAGAACAAAACAGCTGTCCACTACTCTCTGGTTTATAATGGTTCTCCAACTGATATCAATCCGTGATCAGATTTGACACCATCCTAATTCCTACATGCTTATGCCCTAAAATACTCTAAGTTTTTCCTTAACTGTTTTTTGTAACGTTTGGTTCTTTTCTCGTCTGTTTTTGAAATTTTTTTCAGATTTATCACTTCGATGTCTCAAAAATGGTGAAAATATAATTGAGTTAGTTTAATCAAGTTTTCTTTCTCAACATAATTGTGATGATGTGGTTTACTGATTACAAATAATATTTTAAACACCATCGCAACTGTTATGTGTTTCGAGTGGCACCTAATGCTTCAAGGTTGAGGTGTGACGTTTCAGTAGTTGTGGTATTAGTGTAGCTTTAAGGGGTTAGTTTTGTAGCCTCATAGAGAAGGCAGTTGTTGATAAAAGTCTGAACAGTCTTCTAAATGCTTTGGTGACGGGACAAGTCTCTGAACCGTATAGAACAACTGACTTGACATTGGTGTTGAATCTTGTTCTCTATCCTTTTCACGTCAAATTTCCACACTGATTTCAAATTAACGAAAGTCTGTCTTGATTTTCCGATTCTGGATGGCTTTGACGTCCTCGTGTGTGCTGCCTGTATATGTAACGATGCTGCCTAGATAAGTGACATAGATGACATCCTTTAAGCCTGCTAGAGAAGGCTAGCGCCCTCATTCCGCTAGCGAACCTTCAAAACTCAAACGTGAAGCACTGTTTTTTGCTTGAAACTCCAATGAATCAAAAAACGTGTATGGTTTTAATAAAGTCATTTAACTTAGTGGAATATGCTTAATTTTATAAGGAAAGGTAAGTTTGTGCTGTGATAATACTACTATTTAGTGCTCTTTTTTACTGTTACTTCAACACACGAAAATGTGTGACTGATGACTCGAATACTATTCCCACACTAAGAAATTCACGGAAGTCTGATTCAGATTAATTTTTCTATTCAAAGGCAGTATATATATATATATATATATATATATATATCCTGCCAACTAGCCTCTAACCATCTAATAATAATTCACAGCACACTGTGATGGTGAGCCACCTAGCATGACGGTCACATTACAGACATTACTGAAAAAAATCAGTCTGCACTCAACAAAGGACTATACGCATGTGTCCAATCAAAAAGTATCCAATACAATCCTACAGGAGATCAATTGCAAGCTTGAATAGCTCAGTGGTAATGTCTGTGACTGCAGCAATGGATGACCTTGGTTCGAGTCTCAAGATTGCAGGCGTGCCTTGATAGCGATTACCAATAAGCCCTAAACCTAGCTTCAAGGCTTCCTGTGGAAGGCCTCAAACCATGTATATAATTATTATTTCACATGATCGATAAATTACAAGTATAAGAAATGAAAATTATGTTCTAACTGGATAGCATCAATAACATAAAAACCCAACAGCATAAGTCTTTATCTGCATTATGGTCAAGTGTTTGATATGGAGATCAAGTAAACAGTGATTCATATACGTTCCCTGCTGCACTAACAGAGTCTAGTCTTTATCATTCCTACTGTAAATAACAGTAAACTCTTCATCTGAATCATAACTTCCCCCTTCAATGTCGTACTCAGTATTTAGTGTAAATATAAGACAATGATAGTATATGCTTTGCTGCTAATTGAACAGGTAATTTGAAAATCACAGTTTATCTATGCATATCTTTACAACTGCTTCATTTTTTCCTCCAAATTTATTTTTTAAGCTTGTCGGGAATAATGTTTGCTGTATGCTGTCACCACAAGTGTTCATGGAATGAAACGGCTGGTCGTTATTGGTTAGAACAAGTGGCCAATATTACATGTGATGAATTTTCACTTATTACTTCATTAGCTTCATGGGCAGTTTGCGGATTCCAACGGAAATCACCCCATTGTTTAGATGCCTGTACTGATAATACTAATGTGAGGTGTAAAGAGGCCTTACAAAGTGGCAATGAAGATGAATGTCTTACAGTACTGTTAGTTTCAAACACTTTTTTTCAGTCATTTGTCCTGTTTTTATACATTTCGACATACTCTGATAATTCAGGTGTGTAATTCTCTTAATCTATATGTGAATTAGTACCGAAGATGGTGCTCAGATTAACGTCAAAACTCTTTCAGGGAAATTTGAACTGAAACAGTGGTAGAATTACTGGAGTATGGACAGTCTATATCGTTTTGATACTAAGTTCAATGTTATGCGGAACTGTGAATCAATCCAAGGTCTTTATTTCACTCATGAGGTTAAAATTAATGAGCGAGGATCTGTAGGTTAAAATCTCAATCTATATTTCTGAAGTGTGAACAACCAGGTGGTGCTATGGGGTTCTCACACAATATTTATGACTCATGTATAAATGAGTGTATAAATCTGCACAAGGTTACTCAAGTGAAAGGGAATGTACATTAAAAATAATCCATAACCGATAGGCATATCATTTGTACTTTGGATATATTCTGTTTTGTAGTTATCATTTTAATCACCTGTAAATACACCTTTGGTGTTTTCTTGTCGTTTTCAAAATCATGGTGTGATATAGAATCTTTTTTCAGTGAAAGACTGTGCTGGTGGTGGTGTATCTTTTAAAATCGACACCTTTAGGTAGTAACTGGTTGGAAAAATGACTAAGAATCTATTATCAATTATTTGTTTGCAAAGATTTGACTGATTACAGGTCTGGTCACGACATGACATCATTTAAAGAACTATTGGAAAACCAGGAAGTACTAGATATCACAATACTGGATGTGTTTCGTCCCGGTTCGGGACTCTTCATCAGCACACATCTATTGGGTTTCAAACCTAGGGCCTACTGATTACAAGAGGAGCTGGTAGACCATCCAGCCACTGGAATCCCCTATCCACCAGTTCATAATTTCTGACTAGGACTATTAATACCAAGTTAATTGATTTATTCATAATAAGAGTGCGTTTGTTTTATTCTTTAAGTGTTAAGCTTTTAGAAGATCAGCCACACAGAGTAAAGACAATGACAATGGTGATGAAGAATAATCGCTGCCATTCATACTGATGCTGTGTGTTTGATGTTTGACAAATGCCTATATAAGTTGTAAAACCACTCAGAATGATTATCTAAATGAGTTATCTGAACAATGAAGAACTCTCTCTTCGAAGAACACTTTACTCCACTATCGGCATACAAAAAGAGTTATTCTGTTGGACAGAGTTGAAAGTTTCGCATTATGCTTCACTGTTAATTGTTGTTAAGGCCAAATAAAAGTAGCACCCATCTATGTTAAGATTCAAATATTTGTGTTGAAAACTGTGGAGGAGATTATTCTATCCGATTGGATGATTCACTTTTGAGACAGTGAATAAAAGCCATATTCAGCTGTGTTGTCAGCATGCTGAAAGTCTACACCAATCAAAGAAACTGTGTCACTTGCTTACACTAGATTGATGATTGCTTATGCAGATGCAGGCAATTCACACGCCCTGTGATTGGTAAATTCCAGTTCGCTGACATCCAGGTCAGTCAGCTGATTATCGCCTTTGTCTACTTAGAGAAAACGGTCAAGTACAAATGCCTTCCAGTGCATCAGAGATTCTATTTTGCATTGCAAAATGTAAAGGTTGAAATTTATCAAAAGCCTAGTTAGAATCAGGCAGCTATAACATATATCAATGTAAACTTTGTTATGAACACAATCCGTAAATTGCCAATACTGATTACGGCAAAAATAATAGGAAGATTCTAAAGAGTTGATGTTTATTGCCTATTGAACGTTCGACCAACTCAACAACCCAGGAATGACATTTAACTCATCTACCAGCACCCGAGCATTACAAATGAAAAGGAACAACTGCAGTGGACATAAAACAAGCCACAAACGTTTCCCAGGAATTCAAAAGTATTTAGGTGCACCACATGCTTAAATGTAATTCAAAAATATGAGAGCATTTTAAGTTCTCACTGAACTGAGTATCAAAATGATATAGACTGTCCATACTACAGTAATTCTGCTACTGTCTCAGTCTATATCATTTTGATATTTGAATCTTAACATAGACGGGTGCTACTTTTATTTGGCCTTAACAACAATTAACAGTGAAGCATAATGCGAAACTTTCAACTCTGTCCAACAGAATAACTCTTTTTGTATGCCGATAGTGGAGTAAAGTGTTCTTCGAAGAGAGAGTTCTTCATTGTTCAGATAACTCATTTAGATAATCATTCTGAGTGGTTTTACAACTTATATAGGCATTTGTCAAACATCAAACACACAGCATCAGTATGAATGGCAGCGATTATTCTTCATCACCATTGTCATTGTCTTTACTCTGTGTGGCTGATCTTCTAAAAGCTTAACACTTAAAGAATAAAACAAACGCACTCTTATTATGAATAAATCAATTAACTTGGTATTATTATATTTTTTTGGGTGATATTTTCACTTATTGTGATGTGCCAGTGTTTCTTTTACTGTTTGAAACCTTGTAATTCACTGTCACTTTAAGTCATTTTTATTCTTAAGGAAAATTACCTTTGTTTTTCTATATCGTAAAGTGTATTTTATTTTTCTTCTATCTGTGTTTCGAGTGTGTGTCGGTGGCACAGCGGTTAAGACGCTCGCCGACCATGCAGGTGGTCCGGGGTTCGAGCCCCGGCCGGCGCACACCTTTACCTCGCTAAGCCAGTAGTGAGACTGGTATGGAGGAAAGGTTGGGCATGAGGCTAGCAACCCCATCCTGTAAAAAATCAACGCTGCTACGGAATCTTCAGGCCTATAGCTTGGAGCCCTATGTTCCACTGGGAACGTGAAGGAAAAAAATGTGTTTCGAGTGAGACATAGATCGGCATCAAGCTTTAGCTTTGGAATTTAGTAGTGATAATGTTGTTTCTACGGAGTGGGGTTGCTAGCCTCACACGTAATCTTAGCTATTTACCACCTGCTAGGTGTAGTTCAAAAGTGCATCGGTAGGGAATTGAATCCAAATGACGTACGTGGCTGGTGATCATCCTACTATTGAACCGCTGATGCGAAATATATTTCATTTATACATTTAATACATAAATATATATTTTGTCGAGCAAAGTATTTATAAAAGAACATATATAGTAATGCTCTTTGACTCTTTTTATCAATGAATTCTGAATGTAACAGTCATGTAAGGTACATTAGTACAACAATCTTCGAAAGAACTTTCCTTCCTTCTTGTTTTAGCTGATATCCAAATTATTTGCATAAAGTCTCTAATGCCTTGTTGTTGTTATTCCTATCACGAGATTTTATGATATATTTGCGTGAGTGGTGAACCACACTACACTCCTATTTCTGTAAACTATAAATTTGTTCATCAAGTTATAGAGCTAAAAAGATATCTTTGATAATTTTACCAAAACACAATGCATTGAAAATGTTTTCAATTTCCTCGTTGATTGTCTATACTTGATCAAAATAATTAATTTAACGTTTGTCAAGTTTTAGTAAAGACACTATCGTCACTCACGAGGGGCCCACAGGTACATCGCCTTGACGACAAGTCCTAGATAGGATGGAATGTGCCTACTGGATTCCACCGTTTGCCATTACCAAGTAAATGACACCATTTTTCAACAATAATTAATGTTTAATAGTTATGACGGAGTGATACTGAATTGTGGATTCGTCTAACTTGACTAGAATGAGCCTCCAGAACACGACACTATAAGCAACTGATCACCTGAAATTATCTTTTACATTGAGACTGACATAAAAGTCAACCTGAGGAAAACGATGACCGGAACAATGATAACCTTTATAAGAAAAACATGTGGTATATTACATTTTCAAAACCTCATAACTTTAAGCCATAAGTAAACGAATCAAAACTGTCCAATCACGACATCATGTCATTACGTGCAAAAATCATGATTTCACGATTAACAAAAGAAGATTTTCTGTCCTAACAGTATTCTTTTGGTAATATGTCGGAAATCATTCAGTATTTTTCGTTTTAATTGTGTGTTGATGTCTGTCACCATATGCATTTTTCTTTCTCCGTGTATCACAATTTATTAGGGTGTTTCAAAACAGTGTAGTAGCCTCCACAAATACATGCTTATTCTTTAGTTCCATATAATATATATATGTGTGTGTAATAGCATAAAAAATTCTACTTGTAACTTAGTCACTACTAACTTTGACCTCTTGCTTTAATATTTTTTATCCCAGTCGCAGTCTAGATGTCAACTACAAAATGAGAATCGGTAAAATATCCAAACATCTAATTGATTGGGGTCGTCTTATGTATATTAAACATGAATTGAAATTTCCTGATGACCATTTTGTATCTTATGCAAAATCTGAAGTTACTCCTGAAAACATTGTAATCTGTGCTAGCAGACTAACAAAATCTTGTTGTGATTAAAATATATGTATGCATTTATTTAATTGTTTTTTATAGTCACAAAATAATTATTTTGGAATTCATTCGAAATCAATCAAAATCTTTTTTTGCGTTAGCAGTTCATTTCTAAAATGTTTAAGATTTAAATGTTCTAATCTCCTTATTGTAGTAGTATCACGCATTTATTGGTGGATTGGAAGGCCACTCCATGTGACATTAATATGAAGAGCCTCAGGTTAAATGTAGTAATATGTTTCCAAAAATGTTTCAATAAGCTTAGTGTACTCTTTCATATTCGTGGCAAGAGCAATCAGCATTTGAGTATTTATCGACCTTATTGGCAAAGAGAAACGTCAGAATATTTGGGAAGCGAAGTTGGATGAGGTAGTTGGTGACTGAAGAACGACCTTCATTTTTTTCATTTATCAATGCCTGGGAATACTATTTTATGTTTTACTCAAAAAGAAATTCGCACTAGTAAAAAAAACAGATAATAGACTACCTTGTGAGATTGGTCACAAACAACCTCTTAACTGGCTCCTGATTAGGCTCAATCGCAGCATATATATTTTTCTATTTTTAATTCACTCTGTGCCACTTATCTACAGATACCCAAGTGATAATTCAGCAAGCTCGTCATCTGACCTGCATTCTTTAATCATAGAATAAATCCTTCCCAAAAACTGTCTCTGCTGTGCTATGACCACTCTACGATTGGATTTAAGGTTTTCTGTAATAAGCCTAGATTACATTGTGTGTGTGTGTGCAGAAATACTTAAGATAAGTTGATTTAGATAAAGAGATTAAAATTAAAAGGCTACTGTGTGATGTTTTAAAAAGAAGCAATACCCTTCAGTTCAACTACTCATGCTTAGCAATAAAACTGATGATGAATAATATGACATATCTAATAAGTGTGTGAAATGATTTAAGGCGAATGTATACGGAGGAGAATGCTTATTTCAATAATCACCATAACTCCAAGCGGAAAATTCATTATCAAAACTATCGACAAAAAAACAAATCAAGCATTAGATTTCGGTCGACATTTCACTCCAGCAGATCAAATTCCAGTGTGATTTTGTACGACTGACTGTCGTCCGATCTCCAATACAGTCGATTTATTAACCTAAAGCTTCCCCTGTATCTTAACATAATGATACAAATATTTGCTGACAAATCCTGCAGGTATTCAGCTTTCATATACTTGCATAAAATATACAATCCATATAATAAACATGAGTAAATAGTAGGCTGTGGAGTACTTTGGTTGAGAACAGTAAATTCAAATAGTCCGAAAGTTGTAGTAATGCTAGTTTTAAGAAAAATTACTGGACTCTAGTGATGCGTAGCGGTAAGTAATTCCTCAGGATGAATAGCCAAAGCATTCATCACTGAAAATTGGATGCTGACCCCAACTGTTTTAGTCGATTTCTTTAGCTAAAGGCTTACGACCCAGCATCCACGCCATTTGGCGCGCCGTCGTGTTACGTTCGTGCACGATCCCTAGCTAGTTAAGCAGTCATCTCGCACTGAGGTCTGGACTCGAAAAATAAATCGTAATTTGAACGAACAATTCTGATGTTTTGCTTTGACTTTGGTCTACACGGAACGAACACTATAGAAGTTGCAGGTATTAGGTCTTGTGTTAGTGCACTTCGTATTACCCGTTAACGTCAACACCCTCAACTTCTAAACTGCTGATCCTTACCACGAACTAAATCTACGCAGACAAATCCGGTGAGTTCGTTCCATTTCGTATTTGTCCTTGTACAATTTTTAAAATATATATATTTCCCCATTGGTGACCATACGCCTAAACTCATCCGTATCCAACCTAGTAACAGAAGCATTCAGCTCGTGCAAATTTAGCCGGATAATGTGGAAGCAAGGTTTCAGAAATCCGAGTCGGATTTTAGTGAACATGCGATGACTGACCAACGTTCACAGTTCCTCGCAGTTATCCACGATCTACCGCGGGAATTAAGCGAATGCGTAACTGTGCATGTGTCAAGCCCAGAGGTAAGTAACACCTATGAGATGCTTAAGACAGTCCTCCTCAGGAGATGCGACCACGGATCGGTAGCGTCCTGATAAACTATTTCGCTACGTCGAGTTAGGTGATCAATCGGCTGTGAACATACTAACGAGAACGAGGGAAGTTATTGTCCATGTAGCACAAAAGTTCTGACGCTTCATTGACGAAGTATTTCGCGGTCTCCACTTTGTATACGCATACTTAGACGACTGCCTCATTGTGAATCCAGATAAGGAAATTCACCTTAGATACTCAGACTTGGCATTCGAAAGGTTGCGCCTACATGGTCACCATCAATATTTAAAAGTGTCAGATACGTGTAGAATCACCAGACTTTCTCGGCCACACCACTGACTGCAAGAGTATCCGCCAATCGGCTAGTAAAGTTGAAGCGATTCTGAGCTTTTCGGAGGCGCAGACATTGGAAAATCTGCGCACTTAAAACGGTGTGGTAGGTTACTACCGATGATTTATTCCTGACTGTGCCTCCCTGATTCAGCCACTAATAGACCTTCTTCGAGGGAATAATAAGTTCACTGAACTTGACGCGTCCACTAAATTTGCCTTCATTCAGGTTAAAGTGCTACAGCGTATGCCACCATTCCTATGTATTAGGATCCAACGGCAGCGTTAAGTATTTCAGTTGATGCAATAGACACTGCAACTGGCGCAGTTCTGCAACAACTGGTGGCAACCGCTCGCCATTTTCTTGAAAGGTCCACAACTAGCAGAAACCAAGTACAGCACAATCGGCAGAGAACTTCTGGTTATATACTGTGATACACACCACTTCCGACATTCAGCAGAGGGTCGTCAATTCATAATTTTCACTGATCACAAAACTTTACGTGGTCTCTGAACTCAACTCCAGATAAGTGTTCACCGAGGGAATCACGACACCTGGATTACGTTTCAGAGTTTACATCGCATATTCGCCATATATCTGGACTGAACATCACTGTGATTGATGCCTTGTCGCGCATTTGTTTCCTCACCCAAATAGACGGCATAGACCTTGTGAAACTGGCTCGTCTTCAAATAGGAGATACCGAGCTTCAACAACATTGCAATTAGCCAGGAAACCCTCAGGCACAAGAAGAGACACTATTCTTTGTGACGTCTATACGAGTACTCCTCGCCCCATCGTGACTAAGCTATCGCCGTAACGTCTTCAATGCCTTTCGTGACTTATCACACCCAGATATTCGAACTACTGTCAAGATCATCACTAGTCGGTTTTGTCAGCCTGGTTTTAATAAGGAAGTTGGGGAATGGGCTCATACGTGCCTAACTTTCCAAAAGCGCAATGTTGTAAGTTACACCAAAAGCCCTCTTGGAACCTTTCTCATCCCTGATGCTGGATTGGAACTCGTTCACGTAGATCTGTTTGGACCCATCCCAGAATCTCATGAAGATACTTATATCTTAACCTGCATTGACAGTTTTATACGGTGACCTGAAGTAGTACCCATCATGGATGTATCTGCTAAAACAGCCACCCCTATCTCTAGAACGATGGTCCGCAAATTTTGGATGCCCATTCCCATAACAACTGATCGTGGGCGGCAATTAGAAAGTGGCTTATTCTCAGCCTTGACTGAAATCCCAGGCTGTGGGCGTTTTAGAACAACAGCCTACCACCTTCAGACGGATGGTATTGTAGGACGTTTACTCCGGCAGTTGAAGACTGGGTTGTCAGCCACGAACAATGTATATTGGACTGAATCACTGCCGTCAGTCCGCCTAGGCATACGAAACGTCTTAAAAAGTGATGCTGGTTTCCGTACTGCTAAGCCAGCACATTGCACAACAATGCGACCGCCAGGTGAATTCGTTTCCCCCCCTAGCTTCTCATCACCTGTAGATCATGTCTCCTGCGTTAGCAGGCTTACAAACACAATGCGTTCAGTTAAACCTGTCCCCCTCCGACCACAGTCTATAGACGTCTTTTTTCACCCAAGTTTGAAAACTTGTTCATATGTATTTGTTCATCAGGACTCTGTACGTCACCCTCTGGGACCCACGGACCATATAAAGTCATTAAACATTCGGATAAATTCTTTACCCTAGACGAAAATGGCCACGTGGAATGCGTAAGCACCAATCGTTTGAGACCGGCCTACTTAGGAGGCAATCCCATTAGCCTCGAACTAAGCATTCCCAATAATACACAGGTAACCGAATATCCGTTGGTCTTCAAAGAAATCACTGGCATGACAAAGGCAACTGAACCTTCTATCGAGACCTTAAAGAAAACGCGTCCTAGTTTCACAGTGAGAATATCAGAACTTCTTCACACTTATCTCACGTAACAAAATGAGGCAACTCACCCAATTTATGGCACTCGTGGTATATTTATTCTCTCAGACAAATAAAATTTTTCTTTCAATGCATTTCGCAACATAAGTAAGAACTTTTTATGACCGTACAGGTTACATCAACTAAGAAAATTGTTTTTCTATCTGTGTTCTATTTTTCTCATTATTTTTCTCTGTTCAAACGTTATTTTTGGTACAATTTCCCCGACAGGGTTCTCAGCACTCATGTTTTCTTTGCCAGGTGCGACAGGCACTGGACAAGAAGCAAATGAAGCATGACATCCAACGGACAAGCATCAACGAAGCTATGTACAGTCACCCAATTAGCATAGGTGAACGACCAGTAGTGAATAAAGTAAGAACGAATATATTTGCAAGACAAGCTCGGTCTATTTCGTGAATTCTCTTAAAATGTGTACATCCTAAGCAAATTAATTATATGTTACAAAATTTCTCAATATATTTTTTACAATGATTTCAAGTTACAGATATAAAATATGAGCAGAACAAGAACTTTAGGAGTTTGAGGATAAACATTCACACTTCCATAGGAGATGTCTTGCCTTACCGTCGACATCCTTCGTCACCTAAAGTCCACTGAAAACCCTAACTGTAGGCGAAATCTTATTTGAACAAATGGGTTAGTTAAAATAGCAACCATGAAT